GCGCACAGTGGTATACTCTGTGAGGGCTCACACAGCCTCCTTTGCTGGTCCCCAAGGACAGAATGTGCGTTTCGTCAGGGGTCACTCGGAGACGTGTCACCATAAACAAAGACCCCTGAACCTCCAAGTTCCATGCCAGGTGCCAGCCTTGAGCTACGTATCTTTGCAGATACCTGGAACTCTACAAGCTAAGACCCTAAACCCAATAGCTTTTAATTTCTTTTCCATTATCCCTATATAACCCCTATATAACCCCTAGAGCCCCAGTAGTACCCCAATATCACACCAATATTACCTCGCAAGGCAGCACTCCGTCTATCTGCACCAGTGGTTCTTGACCCTCTTTGTGAGCAGCCTACCGCTGCTTGCCTGCCTTTGAACCTTGAGCAAAAAACCCCTAAACCCTGGGGGATAATGGAAAACAAGCTGGAAACTAGTGTTTAGGGATTACACTGGGGTTATGCAGGGATTATAGGGCTTATATAGGGTAAAGCCCGAAGGTATTCTCGGATGGTATCCGACACAGCCCCTCTCTACAACAATTTCACAAAATTTGATTGTTGTTTCGTGATACGCATACCCAGGCGGCACATGTAGCAATCGATGAGAGGCGGCCCTTGTTGGGGATCCCACTTGAGAATCCCACATGGAGGTTCCTCAAAGTTGGAAATCTTTTGCTTGGGGTCCAGTTGTGTTGGAGGCTCCACATATTGAAGGCATTTTCAGCGGCTTGTGAAACTGGCCGAGCTTGCGAAGGCTACCCGTGGTTCTGGTGCTTTGGGACGCTATCGTCTGTGGAGGTCTCCCGGAGATCTTGCCGACACTTGCCTGGAGACAGGATGTTATCAAGTTGCCGAAGGTTGGGTTGCCAAGGGAGCATGGGGTTTTGAGGTCTAGAAAATGATTTTGATAAGAAATTGAGATGGGAGCTGCGTAGCGTTTCCTGTGTTGAGCTAGATTCAACGGGAACCATGTGTGGAGGAGGAATTGATGGTTGCGACGCCCAGGGCTGCAGAGAGGTTATAGTAATCGCTTAGCTTTCCTGTTAAAAGTCTAGATTTGACAATTAGCGGTTTGGGGTGACAAGGCAGGCCCCTAGGCTGTTACAAGTTTTGCAAGGTAGTTTCGGGGAAGTGTTTCTGATGCCCATGTAGAGGATAGATATGTCAATCAGTTGGCGAGTAGCCGAGACATGGGCATCCCAAAATGGAACATCACGTGGGTTTAGTGTTTAAGGTTATGGCTTGGTCGGAACGTTTTGGGTACCTCTTGCTCATGGCTGTGGCGCCTCTTTTTTTGCTCTTTTGTAAGCTGGGAAATGCATCTTGCACCTGGTTGTTTGCCGGTTGGAGATGGGTAGTTGCAGATGGGTAGGTGCAATCAGTGCAAACCCTAGACCCATTAAGCCTTAAACCTGGGCTTAGGGTTTAAGGGTTTTGCAACCCTCACAGGGATGAATTCACCCCATCTTTTAAGATATGTTACGCTCCTCATAAGCATTGTATATAGGACGGTTATACGTAGGAAGGGCAGGGTCGAACTCAGTTAAGTTATCATATTTTGGGTATGTAGTAAGGAATAGGGCTTCCCCTATGACAGTAACTTGACTTAGGTTTCTTAGCAGCGGTTCAGTTCATGCCAGACCTTAGGATATCCATCGCCGTGCTGCAGTTGCTACAGCAGACGCTTCTCACGATGAAGTTGCTCGGCAAATCCCTCCTTTGTTTTGCCATCAAAGCCTGCACCCCCAAAAGGATCTGAAAATTAGATCCCCTAGAACCATAGGGAAAAGTATATGAGGAATATATACAGGGTTTGAATGGGTCTATATAGGGGATCTAATTCTTAGATCCTCCCAGGGGTCCTGGTGCTAGAACAGGCACCAGGTATGGGGCGCAGTAAATCCGAACGCAGCTGCTACAGGGCGAAATCCACAGGCGGGGCTTCGAAGCTCAAAGGAATTACTTCGGGTACACACTGCCCTTCCTCTGCCAAATGTTTGGCCAGTAGGCTTGTAAGTAAAACATGTTGGATGGACTGTGCGCAAGCTGCTTGAAGGCCAGCCAAGATTTCAGCAGCAACTCTGAGAACTCAGCCTCAAACAAGACCTAAAGCATGGCGAAGACGAGTTGCCAACCCCAACCTTGAAATGAGGATTTTAGGATTACATATGACTGTTACAGGATTGTCTGGGTTACCAACTCGCTTTTTCTCTGAGGTGCATGCATCTAAGACTTGTTATGACCTCCCCGCGCCTGACTCTGAAACTCTTATGCCCTTGATGAAAATTTCCATGTACGAGCAGCAACCAAAACGCATACTCCAACCTTCAGAACTGCAAGGAGAACTGCACCGCTATCCTTCATGCCCTGTCCAGGTTTGAAGACATTGCAAGCTTCTTCAAAATGCTCAAGAGCCGTGACTGGGACCGTCCTGAGGTTAGAGTTTAGAGATGCTTAGGGCTCAGATGTCAAGTTTGGTGGTGATGCCACGGGGTTTGGGGTTTGGACCTCAGCACCCGCAAGCCTGCAACAAAAGAAGGGTTTAGGGGTTTTTGCTTGCCCTCTCGCAAAAACCTTGAAAGGCCCTTCAGCTAGTTCAGTCCTGGCTTCTGCTCACTTAGCATGAGTCCAAAGCTTCCCGCAGCAGAGTCGATGCAGGCTGCAAAAGAAGTTTAAAGTTTCGATGTCCCCCAGTAGTACCCTTTTTCCCTTTCTATATTGGGGTCTCCTTATTAATGCTGAACAGTAGGAAAAAGGGTACCCTTATTATAGAGGGGTTACTGGGGAACCTAGGTTTAGTGTGTGGGGTATGGGATTGAGGGTTCAGGGCCAGGAGGCTTTTGTGGCCATAAGCTTTGGAACTTTCAGGGGATTATAAGTATAGTTAATGTTCTCCTGGCTCTAAACCCTAAACCCTCAATAGTATTGTAGTTTCCATTTTCTTTTCCATTACTACCAAGTCCCCCCTGACCATTATTCATTATTTCTATAGTCCCCCTTAAGTAGATGAATATGGCTCCGGGTATATCACTGCAAGATCCCCATCTACCCCATATTCTATCTACTTCAGGGGACTATAAGCCCTAAACCCTAAACCCTAATTTAGGGTTTAGTGCTTAGGGTTTAGGGTTTAGGGTCCTAAACCCTAAGCCGTAAACCGTAAGCCCGGTTGATTTTAGATCCGAGGTTAAGACTTGGGGTAGGGCACGGGCGGTATCCTTAACCTTAGATCTTGAAGCCTACAAGCGCCGCGCGGACCCTGTGAATGTTACTGGGATGCTGTCACGGAACTTAAACTGAGTTACCATGATAGATATATATATATATACATAGAGTGATGAATATGTTTTCCCAAATATAGTAAGTGAAACTAAAATCCCTTAAGCCAATCACGATATTCCACCAGTTTCCGTTTCATTTTCCATGTTCTTTTCCATTTGATCCTCCGTGACAAGGGGATGATACAGTAACCCTAACCCCTAAACCCTAAACGATTAGAATGATTGATAATGTCTTTTACATAATTGAGTTCCTTAGCAGCAGCCCAGGCTACAGTGCAAGCCTGGCCAAGGTCATGAAGTCCTAAAGCTTGATTTGCGAGATCAGGTCCTCAATTCCAAGCCTTAAGTCCAAAACCTTCTAAAATAAAAAACTTTGCCTAAGCCCTAGCCGCAAGTAATTCCAGGTGAGCTATAGTCAAAACTCCTAGTATCCCCCTTAATAACCCCTATAATAATAGTCTCCTATAGAATCCCTATATAACCCCCTCTTTAGGAGTTTAGATTATAGCTCAGGTGAGCATGAAGATTGTGACTTTGAGAGCATCGGCCGCATTGCTGCTATCAGCAGCGTCCGGGGCCTGGTGGAGACAGGGGCTTTGGGGTCGTCTTGCAATAAGGGTTTGGGGATTTAGGACAACTTACTGGGGGTTAGTAAGGAATAGGGTGACATATTCTTTGGGGCGTATGTAGGGATTGTATGCACTTATTCGCTATCAAGAACCAGTAAGACAAAGGGTGCCCAAGGTCACTTTCTAGGGTGTACGTTGTAGGTTTTTTTCCCTCAGTGTTTCTTGCTTAGGATTTGGGGGTTAGGATTTAGGGATGTTTGGGGCTTGCGCGTCTCAGTTCATCAGTTCCTCCTTGGGCGCCTTTAGTCAGGATCAATCTTTGCTGTCCAGGTTGTAGGCCGAAGGGTTCACAGGATTAACACCTAACGGTCCGCGGCGTCCTTCTACTCAGATGAAGGTGCCCGCTGATAATTAATAACCCCTCGCAAAATAGCAAATACACCCCCCCATTATATGATGGTGTTGTATAGCGGGATGCTTATTACTGGGGCGTTGGTGTCTGTAGGTGGGCTTCGCAAATGCCCCCTGCTCTCCCCACGTAATCCATAATCAAATCTCTAGCAGATTCCGCTTGATAGTCTGCGCAAGAGGGCCCCTACTTTGAGGTACCCTGGAGTTAGCTAATATGGTATATGCCCCCAAGAAGCCTTTTTTTTTTTTTAGTATTGTAACCCATCATAAGTAGGTTACCTATACTATAGTCCACCTTAAGTAGATAGAATAGGGCTTTGGGTATATTATGATAAGATCCCCATATACCCCATATTCTATCTACTTAAGGGGACTATAGACCTTATGTGTGCCTTCTTTTGGGCTGGGGGGTGTCAAGGCTGAGGATCGCATAGGGTTCTGTGAGA